GAAAAGTTGCCCACTTGTGGCAGGAAGCAATGTGGCTAGAGTTTCTTGGAAGAACCGGGAGATATTACTGTTATGGATGAGTTGCACATTACTCTTCTGCCTGGACAGGTTGTAAACCATGGATCTTCTGGTTCAGAGGAAGAGGCTCCAGTACAGGTTATCAGTGATGTGAAACAAACTTTCTCTTAATAAACAACAGAAGATTGGATCTACTGAAGCTGAAGATTTATAGTCAATTGCCAGAAAAAGGGTCTTAAAAATACTCAAGTGGAAGGAGCTGCTGCAAGACACCCAGCCCCTCTCCCCAGAGAACTTATAAGACATCACCAAACATTCCTGCCAAGTTCACAAGGAAGGGTAAAATCGAAAACTGTAATTTTGCTCTGGCACATTTCTCAAGAGAATGAGCACAAAATTGCCATAATTGATAGGTAAAAAGTTGCTGGAGAATGAACAGATAGATGAGAAAGCCCCAGAACTCAGATAAAACTCCATTAGAGTAGAGTTTATTAGCAAAGGAACACATGGGAGAGATTCCCTTCCGGGCAGGGAAAATGTCTGCCTCAGGTCGTGATCTGGTGTCTTTTAAAGGGAAAGGCTTCCACTTCCTACAGAAGGCAGGAAGATGTTTCTTTTCAAGTTGGGTGGGGAAAAGCAGGAGAGCAGGACTGTTAAAACCTGTCCCTTTTAGAGATCAAAGGGGAAGCCTGCCATGTTGGCCAAACAGTGGAGAAAAGCTTGCTTCTCTTGACCTCAAAAACCAAGGTGCTTAACAACTCAGTTCTCTTTTCTCAGGGGCTTGAGAAATCCAAAGTCTGTGAGACCCTGTTGAAGACAGGGAGGGCTGCTGCAGTTTGAAAACCTAATAATAATCATGTGACTGAAAATGTAAGCAATGTATTTGGGACATCCAAAGGGACACACATGTCATTGTTGAGTTCCACATGGACCAAATTGTTTGAATAGTAGCACAAAAAACCCACTCTACGCCAGATGTACCTCAGACTCTCAAAGTCATGCTTGGATTCATACCTGGATAGCAACTCAGAGAACCCAAACACAGCTGAACACCTTCAGATCCCATGAAACTTCATATACAATGCTTTGTGAAATACCACAATGGTGCATAAGGCAATCTGTAAATTCGTGGATGGCAGTTTGGCTGAAGTATATG